CTTACATTTCCTGTTTTTCCTGCCCAGGACTCTTCCGTGATTTTATTTTATTTTCTTAAAGATTTTATTTACTTATCTGTTCATGAGAGACACACAGAGAAAGGCAAGAGGGAGAAGCAGGCTCCCTGTGGGAAGCCCGATGTGGGACTTGATCCTAGGACCACTGAGCCACCCAGGTGTCCTGATTTTTTTTTTAATAAACTTTTTTTTTTTATGTTCATCTCTCCACTCACAACTTGAACTCACAACTCGAGATCAAGAGTCACATGCTCCACCGACGGAGCCCGCCAGGCACCCCATAAAATAAACTTTAAGAGCAGTTTTAGGTTGACAGCAAAACCGAGCAGAGGTTACCCGCCCGCCGAAGCCTGCCTTCACGCTCAGCTAGCTATCCCCCAACCCCCCCCCCCCGCCACCTGTCACTGTCACTATCGCTGTTGCCATCCTGAACCACCGCATTGCAGCCATTACAGCAAATCCGCACGACGCAGGGCTTCCCAATTTTCAGGGGCTCCTTACCATTCAGGTCTCAGCTCAAATGACCCCCTTATCAGAAAGTTCCTTCTCGACTACCTGGGGTTCAGAAGCATCCCCTCCTCCTGCCCTCCCAGCACCGTGTAATTTGCTTCCTAGCATTTACTGTTCTCTCTCCCGGCTCGTGTGTTTATTTACTGTCTGAGAAGAGGAGGCTCCCTGCCTAGTCCACTGAGGCAGCTTCATTGCCTGCGGGGCTCCAGCCTTTCCGCACTGCTCACCACTTTTAACCCTGGGCTCAATTTTGGCACACCCGTTTCAGCCAGCTCCACCTGGGCCCCGTGTTACATGAGCTGCGTCATGTTTACTCCCCACTGCATCCCCTCCCGTGGGTGCCGCACCCCCAGCTCAGCACTGCGACCCAGCCCCAGGGCCTCAGGCTGCAGCCACTCCCCACACCCTAGTACGCTCACGTGCACACAATACTTGGTAACTCTGGGTACATTTAATGACAATGTCACGGGGAACCTGGGGCCACACGGATCATGGAGAAGCCTGGGGAGGCAGGGTTGCAAGGTGCCTGCTTGTCCCCATCAGATGGTAGAGTCGTTGGCAGATGCTAGGTCATGCAGCTGGTGGCGGAAGGAGAGTCGGGCTTTCCTGGTGAAGTAGGCGCCAGACCCTAAGGATGGAGTCCCTCCCTTGGCCACAGTGGGGGCAGGAGCCGGGCTGGGATTTGGGTCTGGAGGGACAGCGGGATCCAGGCCTGAAAGGGAGATTGGAAGGGGAAGAAGGGTGTCGTGGGTCAGTGTCCTTCCTTCCGCAGTGAGGAGGGAAGAGGCCAGGTGGTCCTGGGGCAAGGAGTGGGGATGTTGAGACAGCAGGGCTGCTTTCACCGGCCTCTGACCTATGTACTCACGCCGAAGGGCCCCCGATGCGCTGCTGTCACTGTCTTGAAGGTGTTAATATATATATATTTTTTAACCAGGGGCTTCACCTCCTCATTTTGCGCTGGGCCCTGCAGGGTATTTAGGCAGTCCCATGGGAAAGTCCACCTCCCCCCAGGGAAACAAATGATCCTTTTCCCTTCACTAGTTTAAACATTTACCTTTCTCCCCAGACAGAGAGAGCCCCCGTTCTCCCCAGTCCCCCCCATACCTGCTCTTCTTTGAGTCCCCTGCTGTCTCCGGCACCCACACCATGGGAAGCACCATGCCCACTTGAGACCCATCTCAACAGTGGAGGAGACCCGGGATGTTGGCAATGGCCAGGAGGGCCCCAGGGGGAGGGGTGTGGTTTCCAAGCCCCCCCCCGCCCCCCCCGCACTGTGGGCCAAACTACCACTTAGCCTCAGACCGCCTGGTGATTATAGGCGCCAGGGGGTAGAAGGAGGAGGAGAGGGAGGACAGAAGAGGTGGACAGACACCCCGTTCAAACACCTATCCTTTTGTGCCCCCTTCATTTGCGGGCACTCTCTGATCTCCAGGGAGAAGCAGGAGGACGCCGGAAGGGGGATGGAAGCGACAGATGGACGGACAGACACACAGATGCAGAGGAAATCCACTGTAGCCATGTCTGATGACTCGGTGCCCACCTGGACGCTGCCTGGGAGTCATCTGTGTTCTCGAATGAGAATTCAGAATGCCCAAGTTGTAAAAAAAATAAAATAAAAAATTTAAAGATTGTATTTATTTATTCATGAGAGAAGCAGAGACTCAAGCAGAGGGAGAAGCAGGGTCCCTGGGGGGAGCCCGATACAGGACTTGGTCTCAGGACCCCAGGATCACCCCTGAGCGGAAGGGAGACGCTCAACTGCTGAGCACCCCAGGTGTCCATTTCTTATTTCTAAAACAATTTGAAGTGAAAATTTCCACGCAGTTGAATACACACTCATCTATGTACAGTTCTCTGAGTCCCAGGGCATAACTGCCCCAATCAAGATACTAGTCTTGTCACCAATGTCCCTCGTGTGTCTCACTATCAACCTCCTCCCCACCTCCTGCCACAAGCACCTACTGATCCCAGTTCGATCAGTGTAGATTGGTTTTGCCCATTACAGAACTTTATATAGATGATTCATATTGTATTATGTTTTTTTGTCTGGCTTCCTTCAGCATAACGGCCTGGAAGTTCACCCAAATTGGAAGTATTTGCAGTTTACTTGTGTTTCTTGTAATATTAGTTTTATTGATATAATGGCATGCCGTAAAATTCATCCATTTAAGGTATAGGAGTCAGTGGTTTTTACTGGATTCACGGCTGTGCAAACATCACAACTAATTGTGTGACATTTTCATCACCTTCGAGAGAAACCCTATGCCCACTGCGAGTCACTCCCCTGTTCTTTCTCCCCAGCGGGTGGCAAACTCTAAAATACCTTCTGTCTCTACAGATTTCGTAGAAATGAAATCATACGGTATGTGGTCCTTTGTGTCTGACTCCTTTCACTTAGCATTGTGGTTTTTTTTTTTTTAAGATTTTATTTATTTATTAATGAGAGACACAGAGAGGCAGAGACACAAGCAGAGAGAGAAGCAGGCACCCTGTGGGAAGCCCAATGTGGGACTCGATCCCAGGACCCCGGGGTCACACCCTGAGCCCAAGGCAGATGCTCAACTGAGTATACCCCCTGTGCTGAACAGAGTTCAATCTCAGGGCTCTGAGATCATGATCTGAGCTGAAATCAAGAGTCAGACTTTCAACCGATTGAGCCACACGGATATGTATGTTCATTTTGTTTTTTAGATTCTGCATATAAGTGAAATCATATGATATTTGGCTTTCTGTCTTATTTCACTTAGCATCATAACCTCTAGATCCATCCACGTTGTTACAAGTGGCAAGATCTCATTCTTTTTCATGGTTAATATTCCGGTGTGCGTGTGTGTGTGTGTGTGTGTATTCCACATCTTCTTTATACATTCATCAATCCAAGGACTTTTAGGTTGTAAAAAATGCTGCTATAAACATGAGGGTGCATATCTCTTTTCAAATTAGTGTTCTTCTTTTTTTAAAAAATATTTTATTTATTTGACAGAAAGCATAAGCAGGGGGAATGGCACAGGGAGAGGGAGCAGCAGATTCTCTGCTGAGCAGAAAGCTCTATGCAGGGGTCCATGTGTGGCTGGATCACAGGACTCTGGGATCATGACCTGAGCCCAAGGCAGGTGCTTCACCGATGGAGACCTCCAGGCTCCCCTAGTGTTTTCATTTCTTTTTTTCTTTTTTTTAAATTTTATTTATTTATGATAGTCACACAGAGAGAGAGAGAGGCAGAGACACAGGCAGAGGGAGAAGCAGGCTCCATGCACCGGGAGCCCGACGTGGGACTCGATCCCAGGTCTCCAGGATCGCGCCCTGGGCCAAAGGCAGGCGCCAAACTGCTGCGCCACCCAGGGATCCCTGTTTTCATTTCTATGGATAAATACTCAGTAGTGAAATTACTGGATCATGTCATATGGTAGCTCTACTTTTAATTTTTTGAGGACCCTCTCCGTATTATTCCCCAGTAGCCGCAGCAATTTACATTCCCACCAACAGTGCATGCAGGTTCCTTTTACTCCACATCCTCACCAACACCTGTTATTTCTTATCTTTTTTATTTTAGCCATTCTGACAGGTGTGAGGTGGTATCTCATTGTGGTTTTGATCTGCATTTCCTGATGATGAGTGATGGCGAACATCTATCTTTCCATGTGTCTCTTGACTATTTGTATGTCTTCTTTGGGAAAATGTCTATTCAGGTCCTCTGCCCATGTTTAAATCAGATTATGTTTCTTGGTGTTGAGTTGTAAAAGTTGTTGGCCTGGCATGGAGGCCGACTTGGGGGTTGAACTGGAGACCCCGAGATCAAGACCTGAGCTGAAATCAAGACTCAGATGCTTAACGAACTGAGCCACCAGGCGCCTGTATAAGTTCTTTATATATTTTGGTTACTAACCCTTTATTGGATATGTCATTCACAAGTATCTTCTCTCCTGTTCAGTAGGTTGTCTTTCAGTTGTGTTGCTTGTTTCCTGTGCTTCTCATTTTGACAAAATCCCAATAGTGTATCTTTACTTTTGTTTCTCTTGCCTCAGGAGACATATCTAGAAGATATGCTACAGCTGATGTCAGAGAAATTACTGCCTGTGTTCTCTTAAGGGTTTTATGGTTTCAGGCCTCACATTTAGGCCCTTCATCCAGTTGAGTATATTTTTTGTGTATGGTGTGAGAAAGTGGTCCTGTTTTCCTAGCACCATTTATTGAAGAACTATCTTTTTCCCATCAGATATTCTTGCATCCTTTGTCACAGATTAATTCACCACATAGGTGTGGGTTTATTTCTGGGCTTTCTATTCTGTTCCATTGACCTCCATGTCTATTTTTTGTGCTAGTGCCATACTGTTTGGATTATATAGCACTCAATGCTTAACATCTGAGGAACTGTCTTCCAAGGTGGCTGTACCATTTTATACTTTATTTGCTTTCATAAATGAGTCATAGTATATTACCACAAATTAATCATAATTAAAAACTTCTTCTCTTTAAAAAGCACCATTATTTTATTTTTTTAAAGATTTTATCTATTTATTTGTGAGAGACAGAGAGAGGCAGAGACACAGGCAGAGGGAGAAGCAGGCTCCATGCAGGGAGCCTGATGTGGTACTCGATCCCGCAGCTCCAGGATCACACCCGGGGCCTCAGGCAGGCGCTAAACCCTGGAGCCACCCACAGATCCTCAGCACCATTATTTTAAACATAGAAGCCACATCCTGTGAAGAAGTGTTTACAACACCCATATCTGATAAAGGATATGAATAGAAAATATAGGGGTGCCTGGCTGGCTCAGTTGGTAGAGCCTTTGACTCTTGGTCTCAGGATCCTGAGTTCAAGGCCCATGTTGGACATGGAGCCCACCTAAAAAAATAAGAAAATAAAGAAAAAAATACAAAATGCGTAAAGAACTCATAATTCAATGATAAGACAACGTGGTTTTTAAAAATATTAGCCAAAAGACTGGAACAGACACTGGGCAAAAGAGGATACACGAATGGCCAATATGCACAGGAAACATGGTTAGCATCAACTGAGCATCCAAGGAATGCAGATAAAACCACAGTGATTTTCTACTTTACACTCAAACCCCAAATACACGTACTACACCACCCGGCAGCTCCACTCCTAGAAACGAAAACGCATAGTTACCCATTCACCCCCAAAGTTAGGAGTCTTCATGTTCTGTCTCCCTTTCTGATATTTCCCACACATTTCTTCTCCCTTCCCTTATATTCCCTTTCACTATTATTTATATTCCCCAAATGAATGAGAACATATAATGTTTGTCCTTCTCCGATTGACTTACTTCACTCAGCATAATACCCTCCAGTTCCATCCACGTCGAAGCAAATGGTGGGTATTTGTCGTTTCTAATGGCTGAGGAATATACTGGGAGGGGGGCACTTGACGGGATGAGCACTGGGTGTTATTCTGTATGTTGGCAAATTGAACACCAATAAAAAATAAATTTATTATTAAAAGAAAAGAAAAGAAAGAAAAGAAAAAAGAAAAGACAAGACAAGACAAGACAAGAAAAGAAAAGAAAAGAAAAGAAAAGAAAAGAAAAGAAAAGAAAAGAAAAGAAAAGAAAAAACGCATAGTTACCCAAGACGTACACAGGAATGTTAATGGGAGTTTTATCGAAACATCCGAGAAACAACCCGGATGTCCATCAAACCGGGAGACAAGGAGACCTGCATTCTTAAAAAGACGGTAGATCTTGTCTTTCAGGACCCGAGAGCCTCGGGTCTGCCCCCGGAGCGTCGGCCCGGGAGCCGGCGGGGCGGCGGTCTGGGCCCGGAGGCCCGCGCGGGGTCCGGCACCGGCCGAGGGCACAGGAGACGCACGCAGGCGGGCGCGCACCGCCGGACCCGGGGCTGCCAGCCCTCCCGCCCCGCGGCACCCCTGCTCTGTCACCCCCCGTGAACCCCCTTGTCCGCCCCAGGGGCTGGGCCGGGCCGGAGCGGGCGGCGGGGCGGCGGGGCGGCGGGGCCGACGGGGCGGGCGCGGAGGTGAGGCGGGCGATCCGCCCCCGGGGGCCGGCCCTGAGCGCCCGCCCCGCCCCGCCCCGCCGCGGGGTGTGGGCCCCGCTGGCCGCGCCGCTCCCTCGGCTGGCGGACCCGCGCCGGCACCCGCTCGGGCTACCGGTGAGGGCGGGGGAGGGGCCCGTGGTGGCGGGGGAGGCGGGCGCCGGGGGGGGGGGGCGCGGGGCTGCGGACTCAGCCGCACGCCGAGATTTCGGGGTTTCCCTCCCGGGCGGGGCGCACGGAACTTCCTCCTTGCCCCCGGACCCCTCTTGCTGCCCGCCCGGCCCAGCCCGATCTGGCCCCCCGCGGCCCCGGGCCCCCGGCGACCCCTTGGCCTTGGGTTCTGCTCTGCTCCGGTTCGGGGGTGGGGGGCGCCCCGCGGGCCTGGTGGGAGTTCCAGGGAGCGCCGGGTCCGGGCCGGGAGGCGGGGCGGAGCGGTTCTGGATGCGGGAACCGGGTGCCGGGTGGAGATCAGAGGCGGGTTGGCGGGGCGCTGCACCCCGACTAGCAAGCGGGGCTGGGGGGGCGGAGGCGGGGCTGCAGGGCTGATGGGCCCCCTGAGGCCTCCCCACGCTCCTAGGATGGCAGCCACCCCCGACAGCCTCTTCCCCTCCGGGGGCGACCTGGACTCCAGCCAGTTGCAAATGGAGCCGGATGAAGTGGACACGCTGAGAGAGGGCGAGGACCCCGGTACGCGGTGGGTGGGGGGCACGGCATGGGGACGGGAGGGCTGAGACAGATCTCCCGGGGTCTACACTCCTGCACTTTGTCTCCTAGCTGACCGGATGCACCCTTTTCTGGCCATCTATGACCTGCAGCCTCTGAAAATGCACCCGCTGGTGTTCGCCCCTGGGGTCCCCATCACGGCCCAGGTGGTCGGCACTGAAAGATACACCAGCGGATCCAAGGTGTCCGGGCTGGGAATGGGGGGGGGGGGCTGGGAATGAGGGGGCTGGCCAGAGGAGGGGGGCCGCCACCCAGGCCCGGGCCCACCACTCAGGTTGTCCCTCCCCCCAGGTGGGAACCTGCACTCTGTATTCTGTCCGCCTGACTCATGGCGCCTTTACCTGGACCACCAAAAAGAAGTTCCGTCATTTCCAGGAGCTGCATCGGGACCTTCTGAGACACAAAGTCTTGATGACGCTGCTCCCTCTGGCGCGGTAAGGGGACCGGCCTGCTTCCTGGCAAAGGCAGGTGCCCCCCGCCCCTGCTTTCTGCCTGTCGCACCCCCAGGCCTCAACTGCCCCGCCCCAGCTACTTAATTCCCCCATCAGGCCACCCCGCCCCTTCCCCTGCCCCTCAGTTACCAGGAAACCTTCCCAGCCCAGCTCTCCCTGCCCATGATGCTGTGCCAATATCTCAGACGGGCTGGGTGCCCAAAATGCCCTTGGCAGACTCCCTCCTTTTCTTGTCTCTGTTCTCAGGAAGGGGGCCTTCTGGCAGCCTCTGGGCCTCCCCCTGGATCTCTAGGGCTTCAGAAATACAGGCTCCCAACTGTCCCACTCCTCCTTGACACCTCCCCCACCATGTCACCCACAGCTTTGGCGTGGCCCATCCTCCTGCCCGGGAGGCAGCAGCCGACCGAGAGATACCCTCTCTGCCAAGAGTAGGTCCTGAGGGCTCCACCAGACATGCGTCCAGCAAACAGGTGCAATCAGATGCCAGGTCCTCTGGGAAGGCATTTGGTGTGCAAATGGTTCTGGTTGCATCTGTCTGTCTCTCACTCCTGCTTCAGAAATACCTGGAGAATTATCTCAACCGCCTCCTGACCATGTCTTTCTACCGCAACTACCATGCCATGGTAAGGCCCCGGGGGGCGGGTACTTGTGCTTTTTAAGGGGGAGCGGTAAAAGCAGACCTCCGCAGGGAAGGGACAGAGGACCCCGGGCTGTGGGGTCTGCAGAGCTGAGCCCCAGAGTCTCTCCTCTGAACCTCTGTCTTCCTCTGCAGACAGAATTCCTAGAAGTCAGTCGGCTGTCCTTTATCCCAGACCTTGGCTCCAAGGGACTGTGAGTGTCCGACACCCCTCACCCCACCCCCTGAACCCTGTGGATCCCTGCCTGCCTGAGGATGGGGAAAGAATTGCAGGGTAGGGGGTAGAGGGGTGGTAGCAGGGCTCTGGATTCCTTTTCTGGGCACATCTCCTCCTGATTTTGGGGCAGCATCTCCTCCTGATTTTCCCCACAGGGAGGGAGTGATCCGGAAGCGCTCAGGTGGCCACCGAGTTCCTGGCCTCACGTGCTGTGGCCGAGACCAAGTTTGTTATCGCTGGTCCAAGAGGTGGGTCCCAGAGTGGAGCCCCTGGGCAGTGGGAGGGGTGAGGAAGGAGAGCCCTGGGGCCGGGAGGAACGGATGGAGCCCTTCCGCTCCAGGTGGCTGGTGGTGAAGGACTCCTTTCTGCTGTATATGTGCCTCGAGACGGGCAGCATCTCCTTTGTTCAGCTCTTCGACCCCGGCTTTGAGGTCCAGGTGGGGAAAAGGAGCACAGAGGCGCGCTACGGGGTCAGAATTGACACCTCCCACAGGTAAGGCCTCCCAGTGTGCGCGGACACCTGATGAGCAAACAGCCCTGGTGGAGGGGGGCAGTGAGTGGAAGGGAAGGAAGGAAGGGTTTCCACCCATGGAGCTGGCCCTGATTTGTAACCAAGGAACTGGTCTGGCCACATGCCTGGGACTGCTCTTGTGAGCCAGGGGCTCAGAGAGAGGGGGTTGAGTATAAATGCTGGCCTTCCCAGAGAGACTCTTGATGCAAAAGAAGAGGGACTCCATTTATTCATTCATTCAACAAACCCAAGTGCCGGGTGCAAATCTCAGTCCATGCCAGCGACCCAGCTGTGTATAAGGCAGAGACATGCCTTGTCCAGGTAGAGTTGTGAACGAGGGATTCCAGGAGGAATGGGAAAGAGGGGACAGCCCAAAATGGCAGGTGTCTCCCTGGGAGGGCCAGGGGCATTAAGGACTGGGGTCCATCTCCATCTTTCTGCTCAGGTCTCTGATTCTCAAGTGTGGCAGCTACCGGCAGGCCCGGTGGTGGGGCCAGGAGATCACGGAGTTGGCCCAGGGCCCGGGCAGAGACTTCATACAGCTACACCGGCATGACAGCTATGCCCCACCCCGGCCTGCGACCTTGGCCCGGTGGTGAGACACTGACATCCTCGGAGCTTCCCTGTGGGCTTCTGGACTTACTTGCTGTTTTCTGAGTCCTTGGTCCTCTTTCATCTCCTCTGACCTCCATTTGACCTCTGACCACACTGCAATCTCATTTCCCTCCAGTCTCTCTGACCCCCATACTCGGTAATCTCTTGTGATCCTGACTTCTCTGACCTCCTGTGACCCTTTAAAAAAATTATTTATCTGAGAAAGAGAGACAGCAAGAGAGAGCATGAGTGGGGAGACAAGGGAGAAGCATATTACCTGCAGAGCAGGGAACCCGATGTGGGACTTGATCCTGGGACCCTGGGATCACAACCTGAGCCAAAGGCAGATGCTCAACCACTGAGCCACCCAGGCATCCCTCCTGTGACCTTATTTATTTTATTTTTTAAAAAGATTTTACTTATTTATTCATGAGAGACACACACAGAGAGATGCAGAGACACAGGCAGAAGGAGAAGCAGGCTCCATGTAGGGAGCCCGATGCGGCACTCAATCCCAGGACCCCGGGATCACGACCTGAGCCAAAGGCAGACGCTCCACTGCTGAGCCCCCCAGGCATCCCTCCTGTGCCCCTTTTTACCACCTTTGTGCCACAGTCTCTCTCTGTGCCTTATGATCCCTCCAAAACTCATTCATTCATTCAATAAACATTTTCTAAGCACCTACTATGTGCCAGGCCCGGTGGCAGGAATAAGACTCCCCACTAGGTGATTCAACATGAAACACTGGAAAGTTGCCATTCTGGAGGTAGATGCAGGACACTGAGCATAGAGGGGAACCCCTATTCCCACAGGGGGAGAGCGGAGCTAGGGCAGGGGTTGCTGAGCTGAGGTAACTGAGCTTCCTCACGAGCAGAAGGGAGTCAGGGAAGCATTTTCTCCTGGACGTGGTATTGACATTTAGTTAGATTTATTTATTTGAGAGCGAGTAAAAGAGAGCAAGAGCACGAGCGGGGGGAGAGGGAGAGGAAGAAGCAGACTCCCCACCGAGCAGGGTGCCCGATGATGTGAGACTCAATCCCAGGACCCCAGGATCATGACCTGAGCCGAAGGCAGACATGTAACGGCACTGAGTCCCCCAGACACCCCCCTGACATTTATTTTTATTTTTATTTTTTCTGACATTTATTTTTTAACACAAGAACTAACAGCGGATACTTAACTTATGATGCCCTTACCGTGTGCTGGGAAGTGTTCTGGGTGTTTTACGTGTATTATTAAATCCTCACTTGAACCCCGTGAGTGAGGCACGTACAATTGTTACCTCCATTCTACAGATGGGAACATGGAGGCAAGGAGAAGTTCAGGAGCTTGCCCTTAAGGAACTTCACCTCGTGAACTGTGGAACTGGGGTTCAAATCCAGGCAGTCCCAGCCACGACCCTGCTTGTCACCATCACACTAGACTACTAGTTCTTAAAAAACCAAACAGGGGGGCACCCGGCTGGCTCAGTTGGTGGAGCGTGTGACTCCTGCTCTCACAGTCAAGAGTTCGAGCCCCACACTGGGTGTAGAGATTGCTTCAAAAGAGAAAATCCTTAAAAAATATAAAAATGAAAAAAAATACAAAAATGAAATAAAAAGTCAAACAACATGGAAGCATATTAATTAAAACATTTAAGATCCTGTTGATTGAACAACTGATATGGCCCAGCCACTTCTCCCTACGCGTCCCCAACAACCCATTTCTCTCTCCAGAAGTAACCCTCACGGTAGTCTCGTATTTATCTTCTCAGCTCTTTGCCTGCATGGGCTTATCCATGCATGTTACTTTTTGTTTTACTGTAAATAAGATCACGCACTTGCTTATGTGGAGCTTTTTTTTCTTTTTTTTTTCCATTTGTGTGTTAGAGGTTAGGCATTTAGGTTATTTCTCATTTTATTTTGAAGATTTTTTTAATTATTATTTTTTTATTCGAGAGAGAGCGAGCACGAGCGGGGCAAGAACAGAGGCAGAGGGAGAAGCAGACTCTCCATTGGGCAGAGGTCCTCCACACAGGACTCAATCCCAGGACCTGAGCTGAAGGCAGATGCGTCACTGACTCAGCCACTCAGGCAGCCTGGTTATTTATCATTTTATTTTTATTTTTTTTAAGATTTTATTTATTTGTGAGAGACACACACACAGAGAGGCAGAAACACAAGTAGAGGGAGAAGCAGGCTCCCTTTGGGGAGCCCAATGTGGTACCTGATCCCAAGATCCTAGGATCATGCCCTGAGCAGAAGGCAGATGCTCAACCCTTGAGCCCCCAGGCGTCCCTTATTTCTCATTTTAAACAATGCTGCAGTGAACACAATCTTTGTCTAAGCATTTATTAGGATGCATTCCCAGAAATAGAACGACTGTGTGCAATGGTATTAAAGGGTATGTGTGTTTGATATTCTGAGAGACCGCCAAAGGGTCCTCTAAAAAGGCTATAACCAAGGTATATTCCCATAGTCTATGAGAACACTCACTATTCCACATGCTAATATTGAACTCTGTGCTAATATTGTGGATTAAAGACATGTTATTTCCTCTTATTATCAATTTCCTTCCTTACTAATGAGATTGAACATCTTTTCCTATGGCTGACCATTTTAATTTCCTCTGTGAACCGGCAATTCGTATTCTTTGCTCACTTTTCAGTTTGCTCGGATGTCTTTTCCTTATTGACTGGTTGGAACTCTTTATGTATGATGTATGATCTTTAGTCATATTCTTTAGCTTATTGTGTCTTTTGTAATTTTTAACTTCATTTAGCTTATTCTGGCAAATCTGTTGTACCTTGATACATCCAATACCACCTGACTTCTCCGATCACTCTTGGTCTTTGATCCTGCTGTCACCTCTGATCCATGGCTGTCCTCTAGTCTTCACTATCCAGAGCATTCTGGCTTCTGACTCCCCTGACCTCCTTGGCTTGGCCTCCCCCCAGGTTTGTGAATGGGGCAGGTTACTTTGCTGCTGTGGCAGATGCCATCTTGCAAGCTCAAGAGGAGATTTTCATCACAGATTGGTGGTGAGTAAGGGAAAAGCTCCAACAGGAAGGGGCAGGATAAGGCCTGCAAAGGGAGGGGACCGGGTGGAGTGGCTGCTTGCTGGGGCTTAGCCTGCCCCTTGCCCTCTGCTCTGGATCCCAGGTTGAGTCCTGAGATTTACCTGAAGCGTCCTGCCCATTCTGATGACTGGAGACTGGACATTATGCTCAAGAAGAAGGCGGTGAGGAGAGGAGTCAGGCTGGAGAGGAGGCGTGTGGGGGGTGCCCTTGGGTGGAGGTGGGTTAGAAGGGACTGCAGCGTGGGAGAAGGTCGGGAGTCTGAGGCTTCGCGGGAGGATACATGTCTCTCCTGGCTCGGTGTCTAGCATGTATCACCTCTTTTTCCTCCCTGAGGAGCACGTACGCCTCCCTCTTCACGTTCTTCCTCTACCTGGTATAGACTTCTCTCCCAGGACGTATTATACTCTGTTGCATTAGCTAGGGGTGTTCATATCTGCCTTCCTCACTGCACTAATATCACTAGATTCAGTCCAAGGCACGATGTCTGCCATTTGGGGGACATCCGTGGATGTTAATGGCCGGACAGAAGGAGGATAGCGAGTGGGGGCTGGGGGATGGATGGATGGGTGATGAGGGGGAGATGGATGGAAGGATGAGAGGAGGGGGAGGGGGCGGTCAACAGGACTGGGGCGGGTAGATGGATGATGGGTGGTACACAAAGGGGTGAGTAAATGGTTGGGAAGATGGGTGGCGAGATCATGAGAGGCAGGTGAGGAGCTGTATGGATGGGTGAGCAGGTCAGGGGGTCAGCGGGTCACTCAGCCCCCATTGCTAAGTTTGCTGTGAGCCTTCAAAGCAGGGTATGAGCAGGGAGGGACATACGGGAACCCCGAGCACAGGGCAGGGCTTGTGAGGATGGAAAGGGGCCATTGTGAGAGAGGCATTAGGATCTGATCCCCCCTTCCACTTGCCACCAGGAGGAGGGTGTCCGTGTGTCCGTCCTGCTGTTTAAGGAAGTGGAACTGGCCTTGGGCATTAACAGTGGCTATAGCAAGAGGGCTCTGATGCTGCTCCACCCTAACATAAAGGTGACCTTCGGGGCTCAGAGAACCCCCCCAAAGTACAGCCCTCCTTGCCAGGCTCCTGTGTCCCCTCAGCCTTTCCTTTCCTTGAACATCCCATCCTTCCATCATCCTGTTCTCCCTCCTGACGCCTCCTGTCTCCTCTCATCTTGGCCCACCCTCATGTCATGAACTCCCCCACATCTGCTCCAGGTAATGCGCCACCCGGACCAGGTGACACTGTGGGCCCATCATGAAAAGCTCCTGGTCGTGGACCAAGTAGTGGCCTTCTTGGGGGGCTGGACCTCGCCTACGGCCGCTGGGATGACCTACACTACCGACTCACTGACCTCGGGGACCCCTCTGAACCTGCTGCCACACAGGTAACCCTCTAGGCCTTCCTATGCACCCCACCCCTACCAAACACAGCCTTGATGCACACCTCGTCCCCCTCCAGTCATTCCAAGTGCTGCCCATGTTGGGTTGCTCTTCCTGGGACTCCAGGAAGGTGATTCGAAGTAGACCCAGTCCTGCCTGACCCCCATGACCCCTCCAAGCTCCTCTAGGGTAGTGAATGCAGCTGAAGGGGGGCCTGGTCCCACTCTCTCTGTCTCTCTGTCTCTTGGTGCTCCTCCCTTCTCTCTGGCCCGGGCTCTGTGTGGCCCCCATGATCTCTCCTTGCCTCTGGCCTGGGTATGTCCCCCTACAGCCTCCCACCCTGGGCTTGGACTGTCCTGGCACCCCAGACCTCTCGCAAAACCGATTCTTCTGGCTGGGCAAAGACTACAGCAATCTTATCGTTAAAGACTGGGTGCAACTGGATCGGCCTTTTGAGGGTGAGGGTCCCCCTCCTCCAAAGCTCCCAAGAGCTGGGACTAGGGGCAGACATTGGGGCTGGGACTGAACAGGATGAGCTGGGTCAAGGCTCCTCATCCTCCCTGCCCTGATGGTCTCCAAGAGACCATCTCCGACCTTGCCCCTGATTCTTCCGGGACCCCCAGATTTCATTGACAGGGAGACTACCCCCCGGATGCCATGGCGGGACATTGGGGTGGCTGTCCATGGTCTCCCTGCCCGGGACCTGGCCCGGCACTTCATCCAGCGCTGGAACTTCACCAAGGTGCTCTCTCCCTCCTGGGGGGCTGGTTCTGGGAAAGACTCACGCCCCCACTGACTGCCATCCCTCCACCCAAGACTACCAAGGCCAAGTACAAGATACCCATGTATCCCTACCTGCTGCCCAAATCCACCAGCACTGCAGACCAGCTCCCCTTCACGCTCCCAGGGGGGCAGTGCGCCACCGTGCAGGTGAGGCTCCCTGTTTCAACCCGTCCTCACCCCTCCCTCCCCTTCAGCCCAGTGCCCCCACCCATTCTCCGGGACCTGAGTGCTCCCCCCTGGGGTCGGGAGCCACATCATATTCTCTGTCCCCTCCAGGTCTTGCGGTCAGTGGACCGCTGGTCAGCGGGGACTTTGGAGAGTTCTATCCTCAATGCCTACCTACACACCATCAGGGAGAGCCAGCACTTTCTGTACATCGAGGTGTGACGGGAGTGGGGGTTGGGGGCAGAGAAGGAAGGGGGTGTCCGAGGAAAGGGACGAGGCTAGCTGTGGAGTCAGTCCTGGGAGGCGAGGGGAGTTGGCGGGGAGTAGCTGGTGTGGCGGGAGCCTGGGGCTGGGGTAGTGGCCCCGCAGCGGACGCCTGCCTTTGCTCCCTGCCCCAGAATCAGTTCTTCATCAGCTGCTCCGATGGGCGGACAGTTCTGAACAAAGTGGGCGATGAGATTGTGGACAGAATCCTGAAGGCCCACAAGTAAGGTGGACTCGGCGGGAGGATGGGCTGTGGGCGTGGCTTGGTCTGGTCCCGCCTCTGACCCCGCCCCCTCCCACAGACTGGGGCAGTGTTTTCGTGTCTATGTGCTTCTGCCGCTGCTGCCCGGGTTTGAAGGTGACATCACTACAGGTGGTGGGAACTCCATCCAGGCCATTCTGCACTTCACTTACAGGTGACTGCCTCTCCGTGGCCGTGCGCCCTGCCCCGACTCTGCCCCGATCCCTTTTGCTGGACTGTTGAGGTCCACCCTTCTCCTGACATAACCCATCCACCATCGCGCCCCCCCCCCCCCGCGCAGCCTCCACCTCTCTCACCCTCTCTTTTCCCTCAGGACCCTATGCCGTGGGGAATATTCGATCCTCCATCGCCTCAAAGCAGCCAGTGAGTGCTGGGGGGCGGCGGGGCGGGGGGTTCAAGCCCTGGACCCCTGGGCGCGGAGGGGCCTCCTGTTCTTGCAAGGTTCTGGGGCTGCTGCTCTGAGACCACAGGTAGCATTTGACTTGTAGGGAGAAACGGGGAGGTAGCTGGGACGGGGTTCCACCTGCGCATGAGGGCACGTCTCAGCATCCCCCCATCTTTCTCACAGTGGGGACAGCGTGGCGGGACTACATGTCCATCTGTGGGCTTCGCACACACGGAGAGCTGGGCGGGCACCCAGTCTCGGAGCTTATCTACATCCACAGCAAGATGCTCATCGCAGATGACCGGACCGTCATCATTGGTCAGTCCTGCATCTGGACCCCTGACAGGGACTAGAGGAGGGTGGGGAGAGGTGGAGCAGGGCCCTCCAGGGTAAAGGGGCGATGGAGACTGGCTAGTCCTCTGGTAGAGGTGATGGGGCAGGGGCCGCCCTGGGCTCAGGCAGACGCAGTGTGTCCTGTGCCCATCCCAGGCTCTGCCAACATCAATGATCGGAGCTTGCTGGGGAAGCGGGACAGTGAACTGGCCGTGCTGATCGAGGACACAGAGATGGAGCCTTCTCTCATGGACGGTGCAGAATATCAGGCGGGCAGGTTTGCCTTGAGCTTGCGGAAGCATTGCTTCAGGTAGAACGGCATGTGGTGCTGTGGGCATGTGGTGCTATGGGCATGTGGTGCTGTGGGCGGTGCAAGCCGGGAGGGGGCAGTCTGCCTTCTGAGTAGGTATGAGGATGGCTTACAGGTAGTATGGAGGCCCCCCCGCTGGTTTAGGGTACCAGCAAAGTAGGTCTAAAAAAAGAGAGAGAGAGAGAGAGAGAGAAGATAATTTTTTTTAAGCGTCAAAGTAATGGCCAGGGACTAAAAAGTTCTACTGGACTTGTTTACACTTATTTTATTGTTTAACAGTGTGTTTATTTTGAATCACCTGGGCGGGCACCACACCACAGAACTTTTCTAGCATCCAGGCTCTCCAAGGGTCTTCCTCTGACCTTGTGGGGACCCTTTCCCGTAGTGTGATTCTGGGGGCAGATGCCCGGCCAGACCTGGATCTACGAGACCCTGTGTGTGATGACTTCTTCCAGCTGTGGCAAAACACAGCTGAGAGCAATGCCAACATCTATGAGCAGGTGGGCACTGGGCAGGGGGCGGGGGGCTGGCTGAGCCGAAATCCAGGAATTATCGTGTTCAGAGTGGAATGGAGAGAGCCCCGCCCCCAGCCAGTCTCAGGAAGGGGATGAGGGCTTGCGGGCGGGGGGCATGTCACAGGATTCAGTGGCTCAGGGTATGTGGTGTGGGGACTGGGGGCGTCCGGCCCAGGTGGGCTTGGACCCTTGGCAGGGTCTCTCCAGGCCTCATTGGCTTCTGTGCCCCACTGACCCCCAGATCTTCCGCTGCCTGCCATCCAATGCCACCCGCTCCCTGAGGGCACTCCGCGAGTATGTGGCCGTGGAGTCCCTGGCCACGGTCAGCCCACCTCTGGCCACGTCAGAGCTCACCCAGGTCCAGGGCCACCTGGTGCACTTTCCCCTCAAGTTCCTGGAGGATGAGTCTTTGCTGCCCCCACTGGGGAGCAAGGAAGGTGTGATGCCCCTGGAAGTGTGGACATAGCTGAGGCTCCAGCCGGAGACAACTCACCAGTGGCTGCGCTCCCCCGAGGTGGCTCCCTGCCTCCAACCCTCAGGACTGAGGGCTGTGTCCTTTGACACCCGGGGTGGGCAGGCAGGCCTGAAGGGGACCAGAGAAGTCACAGCAGACCCTCCCTTGAGAAGCAGCCGGAAGAGGACACTCCCTAGCCTGGGCCGGAGAGGCAGGAGAGAGTCCTAGGGAAGTCCATCCTGCTGCTGCCCCATTGAAACCATGGTCCTGGAGGAGAAGCCAACCTCCTGCCCAGGCTGCATGCCTGGGGAGCCTGTCACTGTAGGGGCAGCAGGCTGGGGCCCGGGCCTCCCCATCTGTCCCTTCCTCCCCTTCCCTCAAACCCCTCCCTGCCACACCCACAGCTCCAGGGGTAGAGGGAAGCATGGAGCCTCTCCTGGCTTCAGCCCCATCCGTGGGGAGGGTGGGGTGGGGCACACACTAACTCCCTGCCCCTCCACCTGACAGATCACTAGCTTTGTATCCATTCGATAAACATTTCAGAAATAAAGGCATAGAACAGGTCCCCCGCCTCTCCCTCAGCCAAACTGGGAAGTGAGGGTTTACCTCCCACCTCCCATGCACCTGGAGACCTGCAGCTGTGCACCTTCTCTCCTGTCCAGCTCTTGTCTCTTCCTCTGCTGCTTTGTCTCCCCTGTACTTGTGTCCGTAGTTTCAGGAGCTTGCCCCCCCCCCCAGCTGCTGGGACCTGGGAGCTGGTGCTCACCTGCACAAGCGGAAGATGAAGATGCTCAGAGAGGGGCTGGAGGGGCTGGGTCTTGGTCCTCCAGTGGCAGCTGGGAAGAGGCTCAGGGAGGGCCCTTTGGGAACGGCTTGAGGGCAGGAAGGACTGGGCCCCGTATCTTGGGCTTGTCATGTGTGACCTAGCTGACCTTGTCAAGTCATATCATCTCCCAGGCTCAGGGGTCCTACCAGGAAAATGGGAATAGTATTTCACATAAATGGCTTGCTGTGAACATGTAGTCCCTGATTTAAGTATTTATTGAGCATCTACTATTTGCCCAACACGGGCAAGTGCTCTGTAGCCACTTGCAGGTAGGGGTTAGCAAATGGAACAGTGCCGACAGAGGCGCCTCCCATGACCGCACAAAGTTCTGCTGGCCAGGGCCACTCCAGGGGGAAGAGACACTGCGGGTCGGGTTCAAGACCACCGCCGGAGGGATCCCTGGGTGGCGCAGCGGTTTGGCGCCTGCCTTTGGCCCAGGGCGCGATCCTGGAGACACGGGATTGAATCCCATGTCGGGCTCCCGGTGCGTGGAGCCTGCTTCTCCCTCTGCCTGTGTCTCTGCCTCTCTCTCTCTCTCTCTCTCTGTGACTATCATAAGTAAATTTAAAAAAAAATTAAAAAAAAAAAAAGACCACCGCCGGGAAGCCAGCCCGGCAGCAAAGTGAGTCATGTGAAAGTTCTTGTCTTCCCAGGGCCTGTTGTGTTCACACTCTTTATCAATTTTACTTTCATGTGCTAAGAAGCAGTTTTCCATTAGGTAAACATTGCTGCACCCATGTTGTTGTCTGGCTTGGTATTAAAATAGACCCACGGGAGGGGCACCTGGGCGGCTCAGCGGTTGAGCATCTGCCTGAGGCTCAGGGTGTGACCCCAAGGTCCTGGGATTGAGTCCTGCATCAGGACTTCTCCTGATGCCTGTGTCTCTGCCTCTCTCTCTGTCTCTCATGAATAAATAAATAAAATCTTTTAAAAAATAATAAAACAGACATACAGGAGCTCCTGGGTGGCTCAGTGGGTTAAGGACTGACTTGGTTTCAGCTCAGGTCATGATCTTCATTCAGGTCAGGAGATTGAGCTCGCACTGGGTTCCATGTCCAGCGTGGGGTCAGCTTGAGGTTCTCTCTCTCTCTCTCTCTCTTTCTCTCTCTGCTCTTCCTCTGCCCCTATTCACACACACTCTCTCTCTAAAATAAACAAAACAGGGATCCCTGGGTGGCGCAGCGGTTTGGCGCCTGCCTTTGGCCCAGGGCGCGATCCTGGAGACCCGGGATCGAATCCCACATCGGGCTCCCGGTGCATGGAGCCTGCTTCTCCCTCTGCCTGTGTCTCTGCCTCTCTCTCTCTCTGTGACTATCATAAATTAAAAAAAAAAAATTAAAAAAAAATAAACAAAACATTTAAAAAATTTAAAAATCTAAAAAATAAAAAGACACATACATGCCATGACATACTAACATCATTTTCAAAATTGTTACACGATACCGCACTCTATTTAGTGTGCAATAACATTATGTTTAAAAAAATGTATATACCTTCATTTAAAAATATTGCTGGAGCACCTGGCTGGTTCAGTCAGAGGAGCCTGTGACTCTTGATCTCAAGGTTGTGGGTTCGAGCCCCACGCTGGATGCAGAGATCACTTAAATAAATAAACTTTAAAATATATATATTGCTTAAAAATGCTAAACATCATTTGAGCTTTCAGTGAGTCATAATCACTGACCACAGATCCCCACAGCACATATAATAATAATGAAAAATTCTGAAATATTGGGAGAATTACCAAAATGTGGCAGAGAGACACGAAGTGGGCAGGTACTGTTGGAAAAACAGCACCCACAGACTCGCCTGACACTGGGTTGCCACAAACCTTCCATTTGTAAAAAATACAATACAGCTAGGTGTACCTGTAAACGATATGGATTGGAAGAGAGCATTGCACACACTGGATTCAGGAGGGTGACCTCCTGGAGCAGGTGGAGTGAAGAGCATAACAGAGGGGTATACAGAGAGGGCTCTTCACGGAAATTGGTGGCATTTCTTTCTTTCTCTCTCTTTTTTAGATTTTATTTATTTATTTGAGAAAGAGCAAGGGGAGGGACAAGCGGGGGGAGGGGCAAAGGGAGAGGGAGAAGCAGAGTCCCCACTAAGCAGGGAGCCCCACAGCACATGGGGCTTGAACCCCGGACCCTGAGATCTGACCTGAGCTAAAGGCAGGTGCCTAACCAACTGAGCCACCCAGGTGGCCCAGGAGCATTTATTTCTTAAGCTGAGCAGTGGGTAGATATCTTTCTATGTATCTGAAATATTTTGCAATCAGAAAAAAGCTTAGCATAGGTCCTGCCTTTGCCCATCATTCCCTCAGCCTTGCTTCCCAGGCTGAGAATTGACCCCAGGAGCAGGAAGAAAGGGAGAGGAACAGATGGAGGAGCTGAGGAGGACTTTCTGGAAGCTGGGTGTGCAGGCGGGTGGCAGTGTGGAGAGGGGGGATGCAGTTGGTCCTGCTGCCATCCCACGAGTCCAGCCCTCCTTCCCTCTGAAGAAGCCACTTGCACACAAGAAATCCTCCCCTCCCACATACAGTGGTCCCCTGGTACTAATTGGCATCCTGCTAATTAGCCTCATTGTCAGCAGTAAGTGCCTCTTTCCCTAAGGGACCGGTTCCTCATTAACTGCGAGGGGGGGGTGGAGGTTGGGGAGGAGGTGGAGGTGGCAGCCATCTGGAGCCGGCTAGGTGGGCCTCTGCTTCACGCTGTCTCTTGATCTATCTGCAACCCCCACCCCAATTAATCCTAGACTTTCTTTTCTTCTTTCTTTCTTTCTTCTTTCTTCTTTCAAGGTTTTAATACTTTATTTTTTTTAAATTTTTATTTATTTATGATAGTCACACACACACACACAGAGAGGCAGAGACACAGGCAGAGGGAGAAGCAGGCTCCATGCACCGGGAGCCCGACGTGGGATTCGATCCCGGGTCTCCAGGATTGCGCCCTGGGCCAAAGGCAGGCGCCAAACCGCTGCACCACCCAGGGATCCCTCAAGGTTTTATTTATTTATTCATGAGAGACACAAGGAGAGAGGCAGAGACACAGGCAGAGGGAGAAGCAGGCTCCCTGTGGGGAGCCCGATGCGGGACTCAATTCCAGGACCCTGGGGATCATAAATTTGTCTTATTTTTAATATTTTAACTTTCCTTGGGGCGCCTGGGTGGCTGAGTCGGTTGAGCATCCGACTCTGGATACCGGCTCAGGTTATCATCTCAGGGTCATGACATTGAGTCCCCTGTTAGGCTCTGTGCTCAGCAGACAGTCTGCTTGAGATTCTCTCCCTCTCCCTCTGCTCCTCCTCTGACTTCTAAACAAGAAATTTAAAAAACATATTTCAAATAATAAAAATGTTTTTAAACAATGTATTTTAAAATATATTTTAAATCTTTTTTTAAATTTTTATTTATTTATGATAGTCACAGAGAGAGAGAGAGAGAGAGGCAGAGACACAGGCAGAGGGAGAAGCAGGCTCCATGCACCGGGAGCCCGACGTGGGACTCGATCCCGGGTCTCCAGGATCGCGCCCTGGGCCAAAGGCAGGCGCCAAACCGCTGTGCCACCCAGGGATCCCTTAAAATATATTTTAAACAATAAATTAAAAATATATATTTCAACTTTCCTTGATGCCCAATCTGGGACTTTCTCTACCACATCAATTCTTTTTTTTTTTTTAAGATTTTTATTTATTTATTCATGAGAGACCGGAGAGAGAGGCAGAGACACAGGCAGAGGGAGAAGCAGGCTCCATGCCGGGAGCCTGATGTGGGACTCGACCCTGGGTCTCCAGGATCACAACCTGGGCTAAAGGTGGCGCTAAACCGCTGAGCCACCCTGGGCTGCCCTACCACATCAATTCTAAGTTTTTATTACGGACAACTTCATATATACAAACATAAAAGACAATATGAACTGTCATGCATCCAAGTGTCCATAGTCCAACTTTGATAATTACGAACATGAGGTCAGGCTGGTTTCTCTGCTCTTCCTACTTTCTGGATTGCACTGCCTCTTGGCCAGCCTACCCCTGTAATCCTCACCTGCTCACTCACTGTTTCTGTATCTCTTTATTAAACATTGACTGTGAGTCAGTAATAAGCAAATTTGTCAAGGATCTACTATGCCAATCTACATATCTAGTTTTATTATATCCTAATCTTTCTATTATCTCTATTTTATCGATGATAGAATTGAACCTGATTAATGACTTGCCCGAAGGACTAAGTTCAAATTCTGTTTTTTCATACAATCCCATGGTCTTTTTAAAAAAATATTTTATTTATTTACTCATGAGAGACACAGGCAGAGGGAGAAGCAGGCTCCCTGTGGGGAGCCTGATGCAGGACCCGATCCCAGGACCCTGGGGTGACACTCTGAGCCGAAGGCAGACGCTCAACCGCTGAGCCCCCCAGGTGCCCCATCCCATGGTGTTGATCTTGTGTTAGCATATATCACAGGGCCTGCCCAGATGACAGAGGCCTTCGTTCACTTAGCGTGTTACTGAACCTCTAATGGGTGCCAAGAACTGCACTGAACAAGGCTGTCTTGATTCCTGCCTTTATGGGGATGCGGCAGACATTTAGAATTCAAAGTGAGTGTTCTCATCAGTTTAGGCCAGGTGGTTAAAACAATATTCAGCTTTAGTGAGTCAAGGAAGGCTTCGTGGAGGAGTTGATTCAGACATGTAGGACAAAGCAAGGGGCAGTCAGAATGGGCATGGTCAGAATATTCCAGGGAGAGGACATAGCAGATGCACAGGCTGGGGGAGGGTTTTTGGGGTTCTGGCCACAGTGAGGAGACAATTTCAGGATGCCTGGAACATGTGAGATTGAACCGCACGGTGTTGAAAAACAAGGCAGGAGAAGCAGGTGGAATCTTGAAGGGTCTTTGACGCCATACTTTATTCAAAACTGGGGTCGCAGTGGAAGCTCTCAAACAGGGGTGACACCGGGTCTGAAATTTATTTTATTTTTTTTTAAATTTTTTTTAAATTTTTATTTATTTATGATAGTCACACAGTGAGAGAGAGAGAGGCAGAGACACAGGCAGAGGGAGAAGCAGGCTCAAGGCACTGGGAGCCTGACGTGGGATTCGATCCCGGGTCTCCAGGATCGCGCCCTGGGCCAAAGGCAAGCGCCAAACCGCTGCGCCACCCAGGGATGCCCGGGTCTGAATTTTAAAAACCGCTGTGGGCATGGAGAACTGGCTTAAGGGAGTCCCGGCAGGCAGACCAGGCAGGTGGCTGATAAAGAGCAATGGAGGTCAAGGGGCGATTGTGCTCCGGACAAGGACAATGTCATAATGAACAGGAGGGGTGCGGGCAAAAGTGGACGTGCATCCAAATGCGCCAAAGAGAAGAACTCAGAAAGGGGGGTGTCCACCCCTTTCAAGGACTTTCCGTGCAAACTCTCCTAAGTGGTGTGTGCATGGAGACTGGTGGTGGGGTCTCCTGATCAGAGACACTGTCGCCACTGGAAGTGACCTCAGGGAGCAAACAGCCTTCTTCATCAACTTCGCAGGCAAAGAAAAGCCCAGAGAAGCAAAGCAATGGGTTTAAGGTCGCACAGCACAGCAACGGCAGAACATAACTCCTGGTTCTTGTCATAGCATCATCCAGCCTCCAGTGGGGTAATGGTTGGGGCTGCTGTGCCAACCCCAGACCTAAGTGACCCAAGCACGATCCGAAGAGGTTGGACGGAGGGTCCTCAGCGTCTCCCTGCCCCACCTTCCACTACACGCGGCTCCAGGGATTGGTCAGCGAATAATTGTTGAAGCAGCTTCCTCGTGCAGAACAAGGTGTCCGGGAGGATTTCCCCGTCCTGCGGTTGCGGGTCCCCTCCTCAACACCCCCGACTCCGGCCAAGGTGGGGGGTGCAGGGCACCCCCTGAGCCCCCAGCCTCCCTCCCACGTGGGTTCTCGAGCCACATTCTCACCCCAGGCCCCTCCCTCGGCGGCTCCACTGTTGCCATGGCAATGAGGTGGGTGGACAGCCCATCCTATCTAGAGGCCACCCAGCCCTCGCGTGGGGTGTTACCATAACAACCCCCTAGTAATAGGGGGGCTGGACCCCGCCCCCTTCCCCCGCAAATAGATGTGGGTGGCTTGATTGGCAGCTGGGCACACGAAAGAGGAGGAGGGAAAGGGAAGGAAAAGCGTCAAAGCGGAGCGGAGAAGGAAATGAGGGAGAGAGAGGGCAAAACCAGGCGGAGGGGAGGAAGCGCGAGTGCGCAGGCGCGCCGGCCGGTGGGCGCGCTCCGCAGCCGCCCGGCCACCGCCCACTTCTGTGGGTTCTCGCGCGCGCTGTTCGCGCTCGCGCTCTCTCCTGCGCCTGCGCGCAGGTGTCGGCGCCTAGGGGGAGGGGCGCCCGGCGCGCTCGCGTCACGTTCCTCGCCCTCCCTCCCGGCGCGCGGTCACTCGGCGCCTGCGCAGGAGAGGCGGGAGACTCGGGGTGCGGGCTCCCGGCGCCTGCTCCTGTCAGTCGGTGGGTCGGTCCTCCCGCCGGCCCTCCCCCTCCGCGCTCCTCCGGGGGAGGCGCGGCGGAGTCCGCCCCCGGGATCCCCCGATGGGGGAGAAGCGGCGACGGCGGCAGCGGAATAACCGAGCCGGAGCGTGAGCGGCCCCGGGGCCCGGCCGCCCGCGGAGGCCATGGGCGACCCAGCCCCCGCCCGCAGCCTGGACGACATCGACCTGTCCGCCCTGCGGGTGAGCGCGCCGCCCCCAGCCTCGCCCCGGCTCCTGCCCCGCCGCCGCCGCGGGGCAGCGGCGCGGCCGCCCGCCTCACGTGCCCGCTGTCCCCCGGGTGCCCCCTGCCCCCCGCTGCGGGCCCCCAGCCCTCGCCCTCACCCTCGCCCTCGGCTCCCCTTCTCGGGGCACACGCCGCAGCTTCCCGGAGCCGGGTCGGTCCCCGCCCTGCGCTGCCCCGCCCCCACACCCCTGCCCCCTCTGCCGGCGCCGCTGACCCCCCTTCCCCAGCCCCACCCCCGCGCTTCCCGCAGCCCCAGCCCTGTCACCTGCGCGGTCCTGCCGGCCGGCCCCCTCCCTGGCCTCTTTCCAGCCGTGCCCTTACTTGTGTCTCCTTCCTCCTCCTCCACCTCCTCCTTTTCCTCCTCCCCTCGCTCGGCGCCTCGAATTTTGACTTTGTCACTGCCTTGACAGCAGCCCCCACACACACACCGCCGCCTCGCCCACCCCCTGGATGGCCTAGCTCTCCCTCCCGGCCGGAATTTCGGCCTTCCCGTTTGCACCCCGCAGACGCCCTCGTCCCCCTGGTCCTCGTGTGCTCAGCGCTCCCTCTGCCTCCTCTCCTGTTTCAAGTACAGCAGTCCAGAACCAGGCATATCCGGTCTCGGGGTCCCTGCCTATTGCATTACCAACCCTGCAGCTACGGCCCCGCGCCGGAGCGGAGACCAGTGCTGGGGGGGGGGAGGTGGGGGGGTCGCTGCTTCTCTCCAGAAGCCCTGGCTCGTGGCAGTGGCAGGCAGGGCCGGCGGGAGGATGTTTATGTGTGTGGACGTGCTGCATGGGGTTGGTGGGCAGGCAGCAGGAAGATGATGGGGGCGTCGCAGGGCAGGGCCTCCTGAGGAAAGGGATTACAGGAGTCAACCACAGCAGGAATTTCTTAGATATACCTGTTTATTGTCCCTTTGGGGGCACGTGCACGCCCCCATTTGGGAGCTCTCAGGAGCATTTGTGTTCCTCTTCAGCCAGAAGCGCGCACTTAAGAAGCAACTTGGTTTCAAGGTGAACACTCCAGACTGTCCACGCAGGGGCTGCGTTTATCCTGTGTCCTTCGGCCTTCCTCTACCAGGCCACGGTGTAGGGGGCAGCAGGATTTCCCCAGTCGAGTCAGGGTTGGCTTCTCCGGAGGCCCCTCGTTCAAACCAGTCTGGCTGTTGTTAGCCAGGGAACGTGGCCAGTGGTGGGAAAAGGCGGTCAGCCACGCAGGTGCCCCGGATATGCCTGGAGGGGAGAGGGGAATTGAGGAGAGCAGAGTCATGTTGTTAATTGGGTTTCTCTAGGTGACACAGTTTTTCTTGCCATTCAGGTCACAATTTGTTTGGTGCAGTGTTGGGCCAGGAGACCTGCCTTGCTGGAGACAAGGTGATAAGTTGCTGAGGAGGGAGACTAAGCATTGGCTTTCATTCCGTGTGTGCTTGCGTGTGTTGCAGGGCAGGGCCTGTTGGGGTATCATACGATGGAATTCCCAGCTGCCCTTAATGTGCTCTGGGATGAACCCCATCTTCCCTTCCCATCTTGGTTGTTGATTAACTCTGGCTACAGGGTTACATACAATAAACGGGAGGGTCTAAACCATGACCTGTGGTTGAAACCCTGTGGAATTCTGCTAGGGCTTCTCTGTTCCTATAAACCTCCACTTTTGCCCGGACCCCCGCTACCTGGGGTTTGCAGCCATCCTGCAAATGCCCTCTGACCTTGCCTGTGGCATTTCCTTTCTGGACTTCTCAGCCAGAAGCACTGTTAGCCTCCTGCCTCCTTTTCCTCTCATTCCCCTCAGGAAAGGCCTTGGACCTGACCCCAGGGTTTCTATCCCCCCTGCTCCTCATCCTGCCACCACTGCCTCTACTGCCACCCCACTCCTGGAGGGCCAAAGGGAGAGAGGGCTCCTTCCTCCTTGCTGCTGACCTTTCCTTAGTGCCTGTCCCCTTGCTCTACCTCCGGAGCTGCTGTGGTCCTGTGAGCAGCGGGCTGGCTCATCTCTTCTATCCCTGTCTTTCAGTGGGAAACGGCAGCCTGCAGAATTAGCAGCGAAGCCTGTTTCCCTTTCGTCCGTGTTTTGTGCTGGGGGCGGAGAGCGGGGAACATGTTCACTTAGTAGCCGGCCTGGGAGAGCCTACGTTGTCTTTCTCCTCTTGTTTCAAGATAAGGTTTGGTTTTCAGCCAGTGATGAGAGGAACAGTCTGACAGGGGCCAGATTGAATGGCACTGAACCCCAGCCCTGCATGGCAAGGCCGGTGCACCTGCCGCTTCGCGGCCAGGGGCACACTTGACCCCTGAGGCTCTGTTTCCCCCACAGAGTGGCATGGGGATGGGGCTGTCTTCCTGAGTTCAAGTCCCGGCTCTGTCACTGTGCAGCCTTGCCAGATGCTACCGAGAGCCTTTCCTCCCAGCTCGGTGTGGGGAGAGCAGTGGTGCCCAACTCAGAGCTGCCATGGACTCCCCAAGTCTTGCCTGTTGAGTCCTCAGTCCCGGGCCTGGCACGTAGGGGCTTATTGCTGCTCCTGTCATCGGATGGCAATCAGAGAAGCCTTCCAGCACAGCTGTATCTGAAAAAGTGCTGCTTCTCCTGCGTTATTTTTATGTCACTTTTATATAGCATTCCCTTAGTCTGCTTTATTTTACTTCATGGTATTTATCACCATCCGACAGAGGTTTTTGTTTTTAGCCACCTCGACTAAAATGTAAGGTCTGGGGAAGCTAGGGCTCTGACTGTTCTGCACACCAGTGCCTGCATCAGTGTTTTGCACATCATGGGGCCTCAGTGTTTGTTGAATAAATGCATATCAGAACAAGGGAGAGCTCTCAGCACAATGCTTGCTCAGAGAAGGCACTCAGTAAATGTCATGTTTGTTGGGCTTGCTTTTGCCCCTCTTTTTTTTTATTTTTTTTAAATTTTTATTTATTTATGATAGAGAGAGAGAGGGGGGCAGAGACACAGGCAGAGGGAAAAGCAGGCTCCATGCACCGGGAGCCCGACATGGGATTCGATCCCAGGTCTCCAGGATCGCGCCCTGGGCCAAAGGCAGGCGCTAAACCGCTGCGCCACCCAGGGATCCCGCTTTTGCCCCTCTTTTATGGACACACAATTAAGAATATTTTATCTGAGTTGTTTTTGGAATCAGACCTTGTCTGGTGGTAAACAGAGTTCTGGAAACCTTCATCTGAGTGTGATGCACTTGAAGTAAACTTAGGGTCATCCAAGAGAAAATAGGGCCTCTTGTTTCAGACCTTCTCTGCGTCCAAGCTTGGTGATGTTCCAGAAGAGTCTTCTGGCTTGTGGCTCTTGGCTTCCCACAAAGGAATAAGGATCAGCAAAATGGATGGGATGAGGTGGGAGCAGACCCCAGGCTGACCTCTTTCCTTTTGCGTCGCTCCTTTTTGGTTGACCCACTTCATAGATCAAACCGCTTCTCCCTACTGTCTGAGCAGTTGGAAGTTTCAGACTGCAGTGTCCTTGAAACTGTGGAGCTAGAGGCTCAGTGTCACCATGTTCAAGTCGTACTGTGGTGCCCAAGCAGGAGGGACTGGTTGCTAGGCGGTGGTACTGACAGGTGCTCCTTGTCAAATGAATTTGTGTTGTTGTGTCTGCTTTAGAGAAACCTCTTCCCCTTTCTTCTCTCTGCACGAGGCTACGGGGCCAGCATCCCCCGGAAAGCTGGCGGTTCTGGGCTGCCAAACACCAGGTTCTGGTGCGCTAGCTGTCCAGATACTGGTGGCAGATGCTTCAGACAGGGCGGTGGGAAGCCAGGTCTCCTGCTGCAGGAGGAGCGGTGCCTGGAAGTGACTTTCCCCTAGACAGCTGCAGAGGGAAGCTGGGGCTGTTTGGGGTACGGGGTGGGGGGCAGTGAAGTGCAGGCCTGCTCCAGCACAACGATGGAAGGAAGGTGCTAGAGAACTTCCCCAGAGTGAGGTGTTCAGCCATTCCCTGCCAAACGAGGGGAGTGATGATGCCGTCCTGGCCACCGCCGGGCAGGACAGCTTGCCATGGCCCTTGGTGATACGTGGAGGGGAAGGTCTGTGGGAAGATGAGGTTTTGACAGTTAAGATGACAGGAAGAAGGGTCAGCAAGGGAGCCAGCTGGCCCACCTGTCACACTTGCCCACAGAGCTGTTACCACTGTGCCCCGCAGATTTCCCCATTTCAGGCCTGGCCTCCGTTCCTCTCGGTTTTGGCTCTGGTGCCTCCTGGTGCCTCCGACAGGGCAGCTGATATGGCTTGGACACGTAGCGTCCCCTCCTACCGGTGTGGGGACAGGATGGCAGGAAGTGCGTGGCTGCTCTTTACAAGCTCGAACTCGGGCCTCGGTCTAGACGTGAGGACTGTGGAGGTAGCCTCTCAACCTAGAGATAGTCCTGGGACCAGGCAGCGTCTCCAGAAGCTGTCCAGGAGTCAGCCCCATAGACCTTGCTGGCTCTAGACAAGTCCTATTGGACGAGGTTTTCAGAGACATCCCTTCCTGCATCAGTGCCAGACGAGGTTTTCAGAGACATCCCTTCCTGCATCAGTGCCAGGCACGGGCAGGTGGCTGTGTGCATACCAGGCCCTGGGGGCTGTGGGCCATGGGTAGGCCCGGAGTATCATGTCGGGCTTGGTCTTGCACTAGGCTGGAACCAGGCCCTGGGGGCTGTGGGTCGTGGAACCAGGCCCTGGGGGCTGTGGGCTGTGGGCAGGCTCTGGGTGTCACGTTGGGCTCAGTCCTGCACTAGGCTGGAACCAGGACCTGGGGGCATTCACCTAAGACATGCTTCCACTGCTCTGGTTCCCCCTTCCCTAACTGTTGCCCCTCTCCTCAATCCCCTGGGCTCCTCAGGGTTGGCAAGGTTTCATTCAGTCCGATTCCCATGAATAATACTGGTTTTCTATTGCCCTGTCTTCAGTCGTCTCGAAATCTGATGCCCAGTCCTTTCTCCTTCCCGAGCATCCTCTGTCTTTCCTGGGTTGGAAATAGAACAAAAAGTAATCAG